AATTCCGATAACATCTGAAGATGCGAATAATCAAAAAGATCAAAATCTGTAAACAAAATCACTCTTTGATACGATTTAGAACGACCACGTTTTCGAGATTTATCAGAAGTACATAAAAATAGTAAGATTTAAGCCAATCAGCGTGTTTTCTCTGATGTTCTACAGTCGAATTCCGGAAATTTCTAGACGTATTTTTGCTATTATAAAAGGAATGATCTTCATTATCAAATTTGGAAATCTCCCTGACTGTAGTAATTAGTAATGCCTACTATTGATGTGTTACAATCCATCCGAAGATGCTGAATAATTAACTTGCTGCGGGATAATTATTCTATGAATGCTACGCCGCAGTTTTCATTATGTAATGGATGCGTTATTTACCTTTGTACACCAGGAGTTATTATTATTAACACTAATTTAGCAACTCATTCACTTTTACGGTGCGTATTAGATGACTCTTGAAGCAGTTATTGACAAGGAATAATCGGTCAGTACTGATACACTTTGACTCGCAATACTGAATGATACCTACCATAGGAAAAAAAAGATGCGTGAACGATAAAAATCAATCAACTGCTACCTATGACGTGCTTTAATTCTTGCTTGCATGAACAATTAGTCGCCTTGTGTTTATACTAAAGACTCACAAAACTATTAAATGTGAAATATTATGATTAATTTAATATTAATATGCGTCTTTTACAGTGCGAAACACGATAAAGCATAATTAATTGATCGAACATATCATGTATGAGGCATATTCATGAAATTAATGCATAAATAGCGTCGTCGATTTGTAGAATATAGGCAGAGAGAATACACTCCCTGGGAGAAAGTGTGTGATGGGAGTTTTTTTAAAATGATGCAAAATCCAGAATAAAGCCAATTATAAAAATATTCATATTATTCGTAGCTTATTCTCCACGAAGCTACGAGAAATTTTAAAGTGATATCTTGCAATTGCAATTAAATCAAGTTTGTTCTATAAGACAAAAAAGTAAATTTGTAGACAAAAAAGTAAATTTGTAAACAAATAATTTTATTTAGAGCAACAACACAGAAGCGTGGTTTATTCGTCATCTCTATATACAAATAATCGGGGGGAAAGTATTCGCGCATTTTTACGATGCTAAAAGGCTCCGAATTGACAGAACCAAACCCATAAAAAACATTAACAAGCATTCTGTAGATACAGCAAACAGACAACAAGTCATAAGCGAGGGGAAAGACTGAAACAAAACTTAATGCTCAATCGTATACATGTTATAGAAACGCAAGTTCATAACAAATATTTGTCTGATATACCTTGTATGCTACGGCTTACGAAAAAAGACTTATAGACATGAAATGAACAAAATTGGTTTATTTTATGCAATCTATAATACGTAATATTGATTTTCATTTTACTCCTTCTTTCGAAAGAGCTTTCTCGTCATATTCTACAAATATTCGCCTTGGCCTGTGTAAACCGTTGGCTATGTCAAGAAATAAGTAATGTTAATTGACACATACGCGTCCACGTGCATGTAGTACAAATATTGTCAACTAACCGGGCAAATCTACTACTAACACCTCGGTTTTCCAGTTGTCATTCTCGTCCTTTATATAAGACAAAAAATTTTCTATTAACCCTATACGTTTATTTTTACATAAGGACATGGACGAATCTTTTCACTCTACCTTCGCTTGATCTAGGAATGCTATCCCATAACGAACGGGTCCTTCGACGTAGAATTTCATAACTCTATGTTCAGTCCCATCGGTCTTCATCACGTTATTTAGGCTGAAAGAGCATTAGTCAATTAATGTACAGAAAAGTGACTATTTGATCAATGTACACTTACTGCACTCGCATATTACGATGTCTTCTACTATGACCTGGTTGACCAAGACCTTTTATTGGAGTTCCTAAGGCTTCTTGACACTGTAAAAGAATATGGCCGAATAAACAGTCAGAATGGCAGCATGCGATGAAGATTGTAATGGCACCAGCAATCGTACCTGCGGATGTGTTCTGATTTTCTCTAGAGCTTCGCCGAAAACTTTTGTAGATCCCGCAGGGCTAAAAAGCTCATGTGTTAAAAAATAAAAAACGGTGCCTTTTATCGTATGAAGGGGAAAATTTCAATAAACGTTGGTCGAGGAAAACAAGCTCATCGTGATGTAAAAAAAATCATACCAAATAATCCAATACCAAGGGCTATCACACCCAAATTAATCGTTGTCTTCGTTGCTCCAACGACTAAAGCACAGTGTAATCCGTGTTAATGTCCCCCGCAAGGTAAAGTTCTAAACACCCATCATACAGACCCTTCTCTTTAGGTGTCAAACTCTCCCACCGCCTAATTTTATCTCGCTCAACTAGTGCCATACGCCTCCGCTCCTGTTCTTTCCGAACTGAGACCGAAATTAAACGTCGACTGTTCATTCGTCTGCTGAACAAACAAGATCCATTGGGTGTGGATACGTGAGGAAATGAATGTGTGTAGCATCGCAAGGATAAGACACGGCGATACGAAAAAGACGAAAGAAACGAAAGAGACATTTTAGCAAGCGTGAATATGTCTTTTTGATTTTATTAGTCATGGGACATGCCCCATACAGGGGTTCCAAATGTTGTCGATAGTAATGGTATGTTACCCCCCTGTAATATCTTATTCTGAAAACATCAACGTTTTAGATTTGAAGCATCACTCTAACATTGAGTATAATAAAATTACGAACAATGTGTTAATAGTTTATATTAATATAAACTCGACTTTCTATCACACTATTGTTCTTATATATTGAAATATGAGCATAGGTTGTGTGATGATTCACATTTTCATTTTCGTTTTCTGTTTACAGAGAACAACTGATGTTGTCTGGTTGACTATATTGCTACAAAAGAGGCAATGGTGATAATGCTGGTCTTCCTGCATCTACTTTATCAGGCTGCTTGCTTTTAGTTACAACCTGCTGTAAACAGACGCATCATTAACTCCTTTCATTATTACTTCATATTGTGATAGCGTATTGAGAAATTGGGACATTGGACGGGTATGGCTTGTCGGAGACGCACAATCAATTTTCGCCATCGATCACTGACTCAACGATCAGGAAGTCAATGCTCATGAAACTTATATGATAGCTGTCGTCATTTGTGTGCAAAAAATTAGCATAGAATATTAAGTAGGATATACCGATTGGCTAATAATTCAATGTTTATTTGGTTTGCTAATGTCGTAGAAAGCAATGTAATAAAATTATGTATCAATGAGACAGCAGGTCTAGTTAGACTAGTTTTCCAAAACGATTATAATAAATAAAATTTCGCCACGTGCAATGCTCTTATATGGAGGTAAATGTAATTATAATTATAAACATTCCTCAGAACCATGTTCTTGTTCTTTATTAGTATGTAAAGATGTTCACGTTCAATTCTCGTTGTGACGAAGTAGTTGGCTTATAATCTCAATTTTTGATCGTCCAATCAAAAGTCAGAGCCAAAGTTTCGTGGATTTAACACGTGATTGAATAATAAATAGACGTTACATCTATTATTATCATTACTCCAATCAACATAACATGTCGAACCCGTTCATCGTAAAGCGAGAGGAACAAAATGAATATGCTAGATCTATCTTCAGGGACAATTTAAAGGGGTTGGACGCTGTGAGTAAAGAATGTTTAAATACCTCACAAAATTACGCTTATATATTTATTATATGTATGCGTTATTGCAGTTCCTGATCTAAGGGCTCGCTATATATTAGTATGCCAGGCATAAGAAGTTTATGAGAGATTATGTACATTTCTACGGAAACCGCACAACTACGTCTACGGCGTACACAGTTTCGAAGACAGAGCTTGACATTCTGAAGGAGAATCACAAGTAAGCAACCGAACTATGTTGACTGACGGTGGCATGTCCGTTAATACAGTTGATTCTACAGATTTCTTCGAACAGCCGACGACGACGAGAATATGTCCTGGGAACAGCGGGTTGCAAAGAAATATTATGATAAATTGTTTAAGGAATATTGTATAGTGGAATTAAAGTACTATAAGCAGGACAGGGTAAGTTATAAGGCCAAATCGTGATTAAACTCATTAATGTGCTAACATATACGTATTTGTGTAGATTGCTTTGCGATGGAGGATTGAAAAAGAAGTTGTATCGGGAAAAGGTACGTCTCTCAGAATTTAGAGAGACAGTAAGCATTCAAATATCTTTGCTCGAGACTAATTGAATAATTATTCATTCGAAAGGACAATTTATTTGTGCGTCAACGAGGTGTTCGGAAAGAGAACATCTGCGCTCGTGGGAAATTAATTTCGCATACGTTGAAGACGATCAGAAAAAAAACGCTCTAGTAAAGATTCGACTTTGTCCTTCCTGTTCTAACAAGCTTAACTATGGAAAGAAGCACAAAGAAGTACAAAGCAAGTCGAAGGATGTCAAGACGGAGAAACGGAGGAGAGAGGAAAATGAAGACAATAATAATGATAAAGCAGAGATAAAAAGAGAATCAGAAGACGAATCGAGTGCAACAAATAAGGAAGGAAGTGGTATGGACAAGAAACGAAAATACAGTAAGTTTTGCAAATGTTGATTGGTTTAATTTCCCAGTATTTCCGTATTCAACATAGTATGCTTTTTTCTAGCGCATGAACTACCAGATTCAAAAGAAGAGTCCTCTAATATATGGAGCCAACCTATAATACCAGAGATAGAAAAGACTACATCAGAAGAGTATGATGAATTTTTTGCAGGCTTATTTGAGTAGAGCAACATCGAATAGTATTAGAACATATTGTAAATTTCACTAACCAGCCAATCAATAAATGACATGACATAACGTTTCACAAACTATTCGTTGGCAAAGGATTTCGTCAAGAATTTTCGCGATTGTGGAGTATTTGGTTAAAAACAACGTAAGATACTCTGATATCTTCCTCATTCAAGAATGGACTTTGAAAGTATCGAAGAGCAGGATGGAATTAGATTTTCGTGGAATGTATTCCCTGCTTCTCGTTTAGACGCAACGAGAACCGTTGTTCCAGTTTCTTGTCTGTACACTCCATTGAAGGAACGGGAAGACTTACCCCCGATTTATTATGAACCCGTTACTTGCAAAGCGCCTTGTAAGGCTATATTAAATCCTTACTGGTGAGCGCTTGTCATATTGTAGACTCCCAAAACCCGAAACGCAGAAGCTTACAACCTAATAACTACATATATTCTC